ATTGTCATGAATGGATAGAAACTATAATTTTATTGAGAATATTTGAAATTCTCATTTCATTCAAGAACAGTACAATAACCTAGTCTAGATCATATTCTTAGAATTATTTAGCTTACAGGATATCAGTAGAGAATTACGATATTCAAATGAAATTATAGTTCGGATTTCAATTTTATTATTATTCAAGTAAAGTCGCTGACGGGCAGAAACTGCTGGTTTTGGATTTTTCCTAATCGAGGTGAATACACTAGTTTTTATGCTGAATCAATTACCACTACCAAAACCAAGATGAAAAAGTATTAGAGAAAAAACCGGCAGTTGTGGTGCGGACAGTGGACCGTAAAGTCTTTTCAAATCTTCTAATAGAAGTTAATCTCAAGCTTATTTTGCATCATGTCTGAAGTTCGTGAGTGGCAGTTCCAATCCTTCAACAAAAAGCGAGCCCTTCTGTAAGTACCTTTTTTTTTGAGTAGGTATTACTAGTTTTAGTTTTCCTGTTTCGTTTCGATTTGAGTTGGATGTATCTTGCTGGATAATTATTGGTCAATTTAATTCATGCCCTAATTGTTTTTATTCAAAATGAATAAACTTGTTAAGTGGAGTTAAATTATTTAGTTATCATTCTCAAAAAAAAACCTCTTGCAAGCGAGTAACTTCGAGTTGCGATAGTGACAATATTGAAAATTAAAAAAATTGATTCGAACCCATCAACTCTTCACTATGATTTACACGTTCTCACTGTCAGAAAACCAAGTCTGTCTGGTCTGAATTCACATCCTTATATTTACTATAATAAGCCTTGCAGTAAAAGCAATGACCTTCCCAGCAATGATCTCCATCTCCCTACGATTTAACCCGAAATAGTATTGAAAAACAGCGTAACGACGCTGAAACAATCCTACAACGTGTATTGGTAAGTGGCTGGATTGTAGGAGTCTGGCTCCCCATTGAGAATCACAATGTGCTGTTTTCCTCTAAAACTGCCGATACTCCAAACGCGTCGAAACGTTGGATCAGAGCAGTGGCATACCTGACAGAAAACGGCTTTGTTTGAAAATAAAATATTATCGATGGCAGAGAGATGACTGAAATTGCTTACGCGTATAGGCACTAGTGGAATTGACAAAAATTCATGAAAACAACTATGAATTAGGAGAGAGAATGCGATGTATCTGTTCTTTTTCCAGATATTCTTGAGGAAGCATGTTGATTGTGATATGAGTACTCTGTATGTTATAATATGATCTACGTTCGGACGGTAACTGTTGTTTGAAGTGACCATACTAAATCAAACATATTACATGGTGGCAGCGGTAAAACGTTGATTAGACCATTAACATACGAAATTGAATTGAATTGAAAGTAAGCAAGACTGAAAATGAGTTCCGATTCAAGATCACCTTCAGCAATGGAGTTTAATGGAAACGTTTCCGAAAACTGGAAGCAAAAATTTAGCCTATACATGATTGCAAGTGGAAAGAATAAACAGGAGTGAAGGAGAGGAATCAGGAATTGATGAGTCAAATCACGACTATGCTGAAAATGGTCATCGATATACTAGGAGTGAAAGAAAGATTAAGATTGTATCAGTTTTTCATCTGAAGAAGATACTGTGTAAGCGAAACATTGCATGTGATTAAAAATTTTGTGGAAATCTTATCGTTTGTGAAGTTTTTCAATTATTGATGATTCATCAATATTTCTAGACTATCATGAGAAAGAATGACAGTTTTCCTGAATATTTCAATATCTATTAATGCACCCCTAACATGGTTTGGCAAGTGGTTATACATTTTAACACCATTGTAATACAAGGAATCTCTCACTAAAGACGTGCTGGGTATCGGCAGTTTCAAACTATCAATGCTGTGGCGTGTGGAATAATTGGACTGAGCTCTAACAAATTTGGTGAAGTGTTTCCTCACCAAGCATACGGTCTCTAATATAAACAAAGATATCACTGTCAAAATTTTCTTTTCTCTGAACAATGGCCTACGTGAGTCGCGAGGTTTGGCTTTGTAAATATATCGAATTGCTCTTTTTTGAAGCACCTGCACAGTTTCAAGTAGGTCTAGGTTACACACTCCCCAGAAAGGTATCCCGTACCTTGAATGTGACTCAATTAAGGCATAATATGCTGTTAAAGCAGTCTGGGATCCAAGCTCTTTTGAAATTACCCTCACTGCGTAGCATCCAGAGGATATTTTACTTTTGGGCTGCTCGACATGCCTATCAAATTTTAATTTTTTGTCTATGACGACTCCCAAGAATTTGGTACAGTCTGTATTTTCAATGATTCCGTTATCAAGGGAAAAATTATCGAGTGAGCATCTGAAAGTAACTATATATGTTTTATTTATATTGAAAGATAGAAGATTCGAGTCACACCATAACTTGATCTTTTTTACATCAACAGATATGTTATTCTCCAGATCTTTTTCTGTTTTACTGTGCCACAATCGTGGTATCATCTGCGAAGAGTGTTACTTTACCAGTCAAGTTAAGATTTGTAAGATCATTAACATATTTAAAAAAAAGTATGGGACCCAATACAGATCCTTGATGCACTCCAGAATTGATCTCAATTTGCTCTCGAGTATTCATTTGTATTTGATTTAACATTATAAGATTGTTTGTGAAGAGTTTTATAAGCTTCATCAACTGTGATATTTTTGAAATAAGCCTTTTTGCCTTGTATAGTATCGTCAGCAAATGAGGTAGATGAATAACCTTATTACATCTAGCAGTAATCACTAATATATATCACTCCAGAATAAATTGGTGAAGGTTGGTTGGTTTCGTATGAATTTTCTTTGCATTTTCTATGCTACAGAATAATTCCAACATATATCACTTTATCTTTTGGCTATCATCTAGGAGAACTATAAAGTACGCCTGTGATTCTGTAGTTGACCCCATTGCATGAGTATTTCCATGTTCACTATACATGTATCAGTAACGCCAAGTTTTTGGTTTATTTTTTTGCCCCATTCAGTGAACTCCCAATGTATTACTCGAAATACAGAGTGAATATCAGAAATGACATAATTCTCTGAAATTCAAAAGTCTATGATATGAGTGAAGTTTTAGAACGGGTATAAATAATTTGTGAACAGGTCTAATCAAAACTTCCTGACATATCACTACCGTTGCTTTTGCAATTACATTCAAATTCGTCGAATTTCACACAATTACCACACAAATTGAGGCATAATTTCTCTCCAATATATGCACACCAGTTACTATATATTACGGCCAATGAGATAGAGCTACAATATTTGGGATTGGATTGATATGAGAAAGTTTATTTTTCTGGATATGCTTTTATTTATACCCATACGTAACGTAACATTTTTTCTACAAGCGTAGGAAATTGATTGATATGTTCAATCAGTTACTCCTGCAGATAGGAATAACTAACAATAGTGATATATTCTCTATCTTCTAATAATAAGTGATATATCTATTGTGTGTACCGTTTGAAGCATTATGTAGGTAAGCTTATTCCGGAAGCCAGCATGCCCATGGTGTTTGGCCTCTAGGTTTCAGACATTTCTAGGAAATGAGCTAAAAATACTTCTTCTTTATTTGGTGTTTTAACTTTCTCACTATTGCACCCTTCAATAGATCCCGTGCTTCTCATACCTTTCTTAAGACACGCTCTGTCTGTCACTCTGAGAATTACACTCACGAAAATCACGAAGTGTGCGGCCTCTGGTGGCTAACTGTACAAGTCTTGCGAGTATGAACAACAATAACAACAAATATGGCGACCATTGTTTTGAGTTTCATAAATTTTTCCCTGATGAAAAAACTCGAATTATTGCATGAACTTTTATTGTTTACAATGAAGAAACCAGTACCTACCTTATAATAATATAATATACATTTTCTGAAGCACAATTAGAATCATTGTATAAATGTTGGTTGAAATGATTCGATCTTGAGAATAACTTCAAGTCCTCAATTGCTGGAGATCCTTGTTTATGTAAATCGATGATATTGTTTATTCTGAGCAGCCTCTCCAACCATATCTTCTTTTCCAACCCCTTCACTAGAATTCTGTCTCCTTCATAAAAGCCAGTGATATTCCTCGATGAATTCAATTATTTCTTCATACCTATACCATATTGTTGTGATAGCTGATTACTTATGTTTACATTCCAATCCATGCAAGTGTTTAGTGGACCATTCCCACCATTCCATATGTTTGAAAACTGTGGAATTGTAGTGTGATATCAATGATGAATATCACCATTGTCCACATCAAAATGACAATTTCTCTGCACAAAAAGTAATTTTTTCCACACTGGAAACCTTTTACCTATTTCACGAAGTCAACTTATTATTCACTATTTTGCAAAATGATTTCGAAATAACCAATTTGCAATGAGTGCATGCGGCAATGTTTTTGTTGTTCATACTCAGTTCGAAATTTGACGTTGATTTGACGGTTTAATAGAGCCATCTATTGGTTCGTGATTTTCGCGAATAACAATCAATATTTCTCCATTTTCACAATAAATAGTGCATTTTGATGGATGATTTTGTACAACATTACTAAATACTGCACCAAAAAAAAAATACAAAAATTTTCATATCGTGTCACCCACCACTCATATTCACTGCGGGAAGATGACACTTCCCAAACTAAATTGCGTGCGGATATAGGGTGAATCACGCACGCTTGTAGAAACAAATGTTTTTTGGATTGAAATTCTCGTGAGGATATTACACACTCGTTTAGAATCCTATATATATGCCTGTTTGGCGCAGATGGTAGCTTCAGCATGATATGAAACAAAATTTTCTGTAGAATTTAATAAAAACATATTGGGAGGAACGCCAGATGCTTTTCACACTCGAAAAATCTTTGCCCCAAACTTTGTTTATTCCGTCATTGGAAAATAATGCGCCATTATTTGCGTAGGTATGCAGGAATGAACACTCTTGGAAGGAATTTTATGAGGAATTGCAAATCAATTTGTTTTTTTTTACAGATCCCTTACTCGAGAATGCTCCAACTTGTATTTCTTTTCACTTCCTATCTACCCCAAACTAAAATGGAAACTTTCACTATAGGATATCTGACAGGCTCACAGAGGATACCAGGTGAGTTATGAAAAATCAAAATATAGTGAGAGAGGTGGATCAAAGAATGTCAATGACGATTACACAACAGTCAGGCCCGGATTAGAAATTTTAGCTCTCCAAACAGCATATATTCAGCCGACCCTTAATAAAACAAATGTTTGGTTAGTACCTACTAACATCATATTAAACATAAATCTGGAAACCCTAGGGACATTATGAACCATAGACCAGTTACAATCCTTTCTGCGCCTTCCAAAGTTTTTGAGAAAGTAATTTACAACAGGCTCTACAGCCATGTAGAAAACATAATTTCTCCAGAGCAACATGGATTTGTCAAACATAAGTCAACCACCACTAATTTGATGATTTATAGTCATGACTTAGCACTTGCTATTGACCATGGCATGCAAGTGGATACCATTTACACTGATTTGACAAAGGCTTTTGATAAAGTGAATCATAAAACATTAGTAAATAAACTTAGAAAACTCTCTATACATGAGAATCTCATATCATTAGTCTGGTCATACCTGTCTGATAGATCCCAATTTGTTCAATTCAATAAAGAAAAATCAGAAGTATTCACTGCACCATCAGGTGTACCCCAAGGGTCCATACTAGGTCCATTACTATTTATTTTGTTTGTGAACGATATCGGTGAATATATAACATCAAAATACTTTCTTTATGCTGATGACCTGAAGCTATACAGAGTAATCAGGGACGACAGTGACAGACTTTTACTTCAACAAGATCTCAATAGGATTGCCACTTTCTGTGAGCTGAACGACCTGTCATTAAATGAGAACAAATGTAAATATATATCATTCAGCCGTAAGAAAAATCCTATTGAGACAGAATACTGGGTGAATGAAACTAAATTGGAAAAAGTAGAAAACTTCAAGGATCTAGGAGTAGTTTTTGATAGAAAATTTAGCTTTAATACACATATTGCAAAAATTGTAAATGATAGCCTGAGAAATTTAAGTTTTGTTCTAAGGAATTCATACCAGTTTAACTATAATATCGCAATACTTTTATACAATGCCTTCGTAAGACCAAAATTAGAATATGCTTCAGTCATCTGGAATCCACATACCGTTGTTCATTCAGAAATGATTGAGAAGGTACAAAAAAAGTTCATGAGGAGTCTTTATTACAGGAAATATCGAGTATCCACTTTAATGATTTCATACAAAACTCAACTATCAGAATTGAATCAAAACACACTACAGCTCCGGAGAAATATCGCGGATGTGCTATTTGTATGAGACATAGTTAATGATAAGCTTAATGTACCTGATTTACTCTTTGCAATAAAACTACATGTACCTGAAGTAACATTACGTAAGCGAAATCATATTTTTTATATAGATGTGTCATCCTGCTCACCTTTTGTAAGATGCCAGAAATCTGTAAATGAGCATATTAACTGCTGGGATACTGACATTTTCATTTCTAGTAGTAGCAGAATAAAAGGCACTGTTGCTAATTATTGATTATTTTCTACTTAATTGTATATTTTCCACCTTTTATAATAATTAACGTGACCATGTTAGTGGACTGTGTTGTGAATCTTTCTTTGTTTTTAATTTTTTTAGGTAATTTCGGAAGTAATTTCAAGTGTGTACTGTATGTGTACTGTATGTGATAAAACTGTTATTCTGTAATTGGGCTGAAGCCTGTTGTTTTAGCAGTATAAATAAATGAAATGAAATATTGTGATGGAACATTCAGATAAAAAATAGTTTGAATATAAAAAATTATTCAACAAACTCAGGCAATAACATGACTAAAATATAGTCAACAAAACATAGTGAAAACATGGATAAAACATCGAATGGAAGGGTTATCTCTCGACTTGACTAGTGTCTAGCCAATTGTGAAGTGGAATTCAGAAATATTTTATTTCATTATCAAGACATTCACTTGGGTAGTCATATAAAAAGTGACCGAAGCACCTCATAGTTGAGAATTCACACAGTCACAATTTGTAGAAAATCATACAGCATATACAGGGTGTATCTAGATAACACCGAAAAAATTCAAGAGGTGATTCCTGATGAAGTCTTGAAAACACGCCGCTATACATTGAATTTTGAAGTCAAATCGAATTTTTATTGTTTCCTCAAAAATTAAGCTAGATACAATAATTCCACAAGGAATAAAAAAGTTGTTATTTCAATAGTTCAATCTGATGAAAATATAAAATCCAGAAAAACCGGTGGCGTACAATCGTCTTCAGAGAACATGTCGTGGTTGGACGGTATGAACACTCGTATTGTGGCGGTGATTAAGATAGCTGACACCGTCCATGGGCAACATGTTCTTTGAAGACGAGTGTACAATGACATTCACCATAAATATCGATAGATCTACCCACTCTGACGCCACTGGAAATATTATTTAGAATCTAATTGCACCAGAAGAAGCTTCATATTACTATCAACAAAACCACATCGTTTTATTGAAATTAATGAAAAGGCAACTGAGTAATGAATAAAAAAGGATTTTTCATGGAAATATTGATACCCTGTATCTCGAAAACGAAGCAAGCTAGGATACATGTTTATATGAACTTTATTTCCTTAAATATCACAATTTTTTCGGTGTTATTCAGATACACCTTGAAATCTACGAGTAAAAGTTGAAGACACAGCTGTATAATTTCAATATGTTCCATATAAAAAGTGACTGAGTGATTTTTTTAAGTATGATGTGCTTTGGTGTCTTGATAATGAAATGAAATATTTCGAAAGTTCGACCATTTAACTAACAGTTCTTCTTTAAATTAGACATAACTTCTGACTGCAACCTCGAGAAAAACACATTTTCAATAGTGCTTGTAAATATGAGATATATATAAAATATAAACCAAAATATCGAGTATTCCACAAAACAAGAAAAAATATACTTCGACGAAGCGCCTCTTACATGGCTTAGGAAAATAAGTATTTGTATAATATATATAAAAAATCAATTTGCAAAGATTTGCCACCTCCTGAGATTTGGTAATCTAGGCCTGACAACAGTTCGTTCTTTAGCAATAAACAGTTTGAATGATATCGGTATAACTGTACACCTATTGGCAATTTGATCCACCCTCAGTATCGTTGACTATTTTGTTATCAATAAAGAAGGTAACTTAGAGTGTGTGAGCGTAGGTGAATGTGTTATGCATTGAAACATTTTCATTTATGATGTGTGGAATGTCATTTGTTGAAATATCTTGGCATTATTTCGAGGCTGCTCCTCTCCACCCTATCATCTATTTCCAGGAGATTTGGAATACCCCAGACCAGGTCTGACCATCTCCGGAGCAATCTCTCTGGCAGTAGAAGAAGTCAACCAAGGTCATCTGAAAGAAAGAGGACACAAGCTGGATTTCATCGTGGCCGAGACATACGGCGAAGAAAGGATCAGCGTCCAAAAAACGGCTGATTTGTGGACCAAAAACGTGTCGGTCTATGTTGGTCCTCAAGAGACCTGCGAACACGAGGCAATCATGGCTGCTGCTTTCAACGTCCCAATGATCTCTTATGTGAGTGTACAGGGTGTTTCACAATATGTATTTCGCCGACCATGTATGAAAATGAATCATTGGTATTGGTATTGGTAGGTTGGATGGTGACAGATGCTCTGCGACCTAATTAGATCTATTGTGCCCCATCTGCTTCTGCTATATCAAGGATTTCTTGTTCATAGCAGCCCCTCGAGATTCAATTCCTTCAGGAATTTGAGGATTTTGAGGGAGTCTAGCTGTGGTATTTCTTCCTCAGTCAGCTGGTGTGTTCCCAGTATGTTCAATCTTTTGTGATGTACAGCGTCACACTCCATCAGTATGTGATGGGGTGTTTCTGGTTCTTCCTCACAGAATCTGCAGGTGCCGTCCTCCTGTAAGCCTAGCTTCCTTAGGTGTTCTTTGAGTCTGCAATGCCCCGTTAGAAATCCCGTTATTGCTTTGAGACTTCCTTTGCTGAGGTTTGTCAGTGTCTTAGATCTTTCTCGGTTGAAATTACCAAGGAGATCTTTAGCCTGCCGTAGTCCTGGAAGTCTTATCCATTGTCTGGCTCTCCAGGCTCCTTCCGCCTTCTCGAGTTCTCCTTGGAAATAGGAATTTCCAAGGCCGCAGAATGGCTCTGGTCCGATCAGTGGCGTGCCAGAGTGTCTGCTTGTTCATTCCCCTCCACTCCAATATGCCCTGGCACCCAGAGGAGGATCACTTTATTGTTGCTGCCTAGCTCATTCAATTTGCTTAGGCATTTCCATACCATCTTCGAGTTGATGTAAGGAGAGCTCAACGCTTTGATGACTGCTTGGCTATCGGATAAACTCGCGATGTCCTTCTTCCGGTATTTCCTGTCAAGGTTGAACTGGATGCATCTTCCTATGGCGTGTATTTCCGCTTGAAAAATGCTGGGGAATTGTCCCATGGATTCGAAGTATTTGGTACGAGGCCGAAAGACTCCTGCTCCAGTTCCCTCGGGTGTTTTAGACCCGTCCGTATACCAAGTAATGGTGTTTCTTCCCAGTGATTCCGATGGATTCTTTGCTCCATTCGCGCTTGTTGGTCAGCTCCCCTCGGAAGTTCTTCTCAAAACTGAACTTCCTGATGATTTGGTCTGTTGGAAGATCGGCGAGGTGTGCGATCTCAGTGGGGGGTGAGCCCCTTGCACTGTGCGTTTTCCCTCTTAGTCCGACCTTGGCTAACCTGAGAATGATTCATATCGAGCCTATATAAAAACGTGACCGCAAGTAATGTATACAGAGTGGGCCTTTGAAAACGAAACAGAGGCTCTGTAGGTCGCCAAAACCGGATTATCAAAAAAAAACTGAAACAGGTCAACTACATTTTCGAGGGGGACATCTTTCTAAAATATTTTCAGCCCTGCGGCGTTGCCGCTTCTAAAGAAAAGAAGCAACAACTTTGTCATTTCAAATGGAACACCTTGTATTTTATTGCATTCTTAGATTCTCTCCGAAGAGCTGAATTCATCAATGCATCACACTTGGGGTCTAGCTGTAATGGTTTCAGGGACATAAAGTGTTCAAAATCGAGATTTTTCAACTTTAAAATTTTTTTGTGTCGAAACTATTCATTATTGGTCAAAACGGCTCTCATGTCCCTATCTCAACTTGTGATTTACTATCTACTGACATTTATTTGAAACAAATACAGGGTGGTTCAAGATTCAGAATTCTGATCACCATGAAAAGTTCCTTTAAACGAATGTCCAAAACTCTTTCCATTCGTAGTTACAGAGTGTTGAAATTTCAAGGTTTCTTCAGTTTTCTCCTATAGCTCCTGCAGTTTTCACGATATCCGGCTCAAAATTGGATTACGAGTTAGGCTATAGTGATCACATTATTGGGCATACCAAATGAACTTGAGAATCTATCAGGATCTAGTTTTTCAAGGGTCACCCCTCGTTTCTTTACCCTTTCTTTTTCATTTTTTTAAGTCATGGAAAAAATATGATTGTCAGTGCTTGTCATAGTGTCCGTACTCTGATATACAAAAAACGTCAAAACAGCGCAGTGTCAAGTACATTAAGGAACTCTAACTTCCCCTATCCGCCATTAGGCTATGGCTGGTTAGTCATGACTCACCCTTTATACATAATGGAGTTGACATCTACTTCCGGAAAATACTTCCGAAAGATGGGAATTCACAAAATTTCTTGAAATTCGAGTATTGATTTCTCAGATACAAAAAGATATTTTGGAATAGATTTATTGGTTTCCTCTGCTCTGGAATACTCACTGCTGAAAAAGGCAATGAACTCAATATAAACACCTATATTGAGTTCATTGGAAAAAGGTGCACAAATTCTCTATGAATGTGACGTAATCCAAGTCTTAACCTTTTATAGCAGTCCCTTCTCTTTCAGCATCCCAATGCCTTAGGGCTCCGATAGGATATTTGAGCGCTTCAAGATTTCCAATACAAACATCTGGGCCAAAACCTATTTCAGCGCTTAAGTTGAAGGTGTAAACGACTACAAAATGTCTGCACACAAAGGCACTAAAGATAACTAATGCGGAAGGAGATCAAAAAGGGGAAGTTTAGGTATATTTTCGGCGATTTATATTCTATTTGTTTGGTGGAAATGCTCAGAATTGAAAATAATACGGTAGTGAACCTAAATGTTCAGAGAATTCGAGTCTGAGCCATTCATTCAGTAATAAACTACTGAAATCTTAGATGGATCTCACATATAATGTTTCTTGAATTCTTTTTTCTGGATTGATAAGGGAAAAGGGTGATGCCAGCTGTTTCGAACTCCTTGGAAACTTTGGAATACCTAATGCATAAGCATGAAAAATAGTTTGTGAATGTACAGGGTATCCCAATTTGGGCACTTTTGCGGGGTATCTCCCTTATCAGTAAAGATAGAGCATTGCGGTTTTCGCGACAGTGTGCTACTTTTTTATGAAATTAATAATGGCGCAAGCAGAATTGTGGTAGCTCTTCCGGTTGTCTAGATACAGGGTGGAATTGAAAAATATCACCCCCCGTGTCTCAGTTATCTTTGAACTTATCGAAGAAGTTAAAACTTGTTTTTATAGAGTTTTTCTCGTAGAATCCAGTGGCGTAGTTATTTTTTTGCTAGCACCTTTTGTTTTTTAGTTATGGAGCAAACATATGTTTTTTTTTAAATGGAAAATAATTGTATACAATTATATATTTTTGGAAAGCCCAGTTCATGCTCAATGTATATATGAAATAATATACAGGGTGTTCCATTTAAAAAAACATATGTTTGCTCCATAACTAAAAAACAAAAGGTGCTAGCAAAAAAATAACTACGCCACTGGATTCTACGAGAAAAACTCTATAAAAACAAGTTTTAACTTCTTCGATAAGTTCAAAGATAACTGAGACACGGAGGGTGCCTGAAAAGTGATATTTTTCAATTCCACCCTGTATCTCGACAACCGGAAGAGCTATCACAATTCTACTTGCGCCATTATTAATTTCATAAAAAAGTAGCACACTGTCGCGAAAACCGCAATGCTCTATCTTTACTGATAAGGGAGATACCCCGCAAAAGTGCCCAAATTGGGATACCCTGTACCCTATACTTCATACAAAAAATTAACATAACGACACTGGAGAGGTAGAAGGTCTAAAGCAACATATTGCGGTAGGTTTCCAGGAAAGCGTTTCAAACGTTGAAATTTGAAAAAAAAATTCTTAACGAATTACCTAGTGAATCATTATAAGGTTCGCATTGACTAGTCAATATATTGATTCATCTATGGAATTGTTATAGGATTGATTTACTCCAAAACCAAACAATTCAATGGATACTTTGTGCTTGAGTCAAATTCTACTCCTACTTCATACATAATTCGATATCGGAATGAACGAATCCGTGGCATAAATTGGGAAATATTGAAAAATGGAGACGAAGTAGTCTACCGGAGTGCTCCTATTGGCAAAAAAAGCGAAAAGCTGACTTCGAGCGCCAATATCTCAGAAACTATCTGTCCTACGGGGCTGATTATGGTCTCATTCGATTCAGCAGGTTATTTTCTACTGGAAAAGCGATAAATCGCGTGAATTACTGCCGTTTTCTGGCACTTTCGGCCGTCCGAAGATGGCTCGGTGACTATATCGTATTTTTATTTGGCCTATTAAAAATCTGAAAAAATTCACAAAGACTGATTCTGTATCGAAATGAACGAATCTGTGATAAAAATTAGGGAATTTCGAAGAATGGAGACGAAGTAGTCTACCGGAGTGCTCCTATTGGCAAAAAAGCGAAAAGCTGACTTTGAGTGCCGATATCTCAAAAACTATCTGTTATACGGGGCTGATCATAGTCTCATTCGTTTCAACAGGTCATTTCCTACTGGGAAAACGATAATTCGAGTGAATTTCTGCCGTTTTCAGGCTCTTTCGGCCGTCCGAAGATCGCTCGGTGACTATATCGTATGGAAGTCTTAAGTGGGAAAATGAAAATTTTCATTCGGCCTATTAGAAATCTGAAAAAATTCACATGGACTAATTCGATATTGAAATGAACGAATCTGTGGTGAAAATCAGGAGATTTTGAAAAGTGGAGACGTAGTAGTCTACCGGAGTGCTCCTATTGGCAAAAAAAGCGAAAAGCTGAATTTGAGTGCCGATATCTCAAAAACTATCTGTTATACGGGGCTGATCATAGTCTCATTCGTTTCAACAGGTCATTTCCTACTGGGGAAAACGATAATTCGAGTGAATTTCTGCCGTTTTCAGGCTCTTTCGGCCGTCCGAAGATCGCTCGGTGACTATATCGTATGGAAGTCTTAGGTGGGAAAATGAAAATTTTTATTTGGCCTATTAGAAATCTGAAAAAATTCACATGGACTAATTCGATATCGAAATGAACGAATCTGTGGTGCAAATCAGGAAATTTTGGAAAATGGAGACGTAGTAGTCTACCGGAGTGCTCCTATTGGCAAAAAAAGCGAAAAGCTGTTTTTGAGTGCCGATATCTCAAAAACTATCTGTCCTACGGGGCTGATCATGGTCCCATTCGATTGAACAGGTCATTTTCTACTAGGAAAGCGATTATTCGAGTGAATTTCTGCCGTTTTCTGGCCCTTTCGGCCGTCCTAAGATGGCTCGGTGACTATATCGTATGGAAGTCTTAGGTGGGATAATGAAAATTTTTATTTGGCCTATTAAAAATCTGAAAAAATTCACATAGACTGATTCGATATCGAAATGAACGAATCCGTGGCATAAATCGGGAAAATTTCGAAAAATGGAGATGTAGTAGTCTACCGGAGTGCTACTATTGGCAAAAAAAGCGAAAAGCTGACTTTGAGCGCCGATATCTCAAAAACTATTTGTCCTACGGGGCTGATTATGGTCTCAATCGATTCAGCAGGTCATTTGCTACTGGAAAAGCTGAAATCTTCGTGAATTTATGCCGTTTTCTGGCACTTTCGGCCGTCCGAAGATGGCTCGGTGACTATATCGTATGGAAGTCTAAGGTGGGATAATGAAAATTTTTATTTGGCCTATTGAAGATCTAAAAAAATTCACATAATAATTCTACTCCTTACATATTGAAAGGTAAAATCACTAATAGGATAAAATCAGAGTAGCTTGAAGAATTATTATTATTAATTTATGAGTAGGGTAAAACATCTAACTCATAAAACTCTTCTACAGGTAACCAGAGTAAAATGTCTAATGAAACAAACAAACAAATTTCCTATAACAAAATCAAGTGGAAGCGTATTTAATTTTTTCCTTCTAGGAACACATAAATATCATAAAGCTCATCTGACTAACACGTCACTTCTCTTATATCTTATCTAGATCTCAAATAATGTCATATCACATGGATTAACCACCAAAATGGTAGAAGATAATGAAAACTGGAATAACTAATGGTAGGTAGTTTTAATATTGAAGGTGACTTATTTCACTATAGTAGGAAAATGTAAATTCCTTTGTCGTTAAAGCAAATACTTTAAATTGAAGATACCTACCCATTTTATGGTAACTAAAGCGCCAGCTGAATGATCAGGATGCTATGAAACTTGGACAGATCGATGCAGAAAAAAACGGGCTTTTTAGTCATGTTTATAACTCATTTTTCTTTGGGGTGGCGCTTTGGACCTTTTACCTTTCCAGCGACGATATCCACAATCTCCATTAGGCTTGAACTTCAACTTAAATCGCATGAAATTTCATTTTGTCAAATAAATTGAAGTATTAATTGAATGTTTATACAAAATGACATTCCTCCTCCTGATAATTCACTCCAGAACGGTGAAGCATTATTCAGATTCCTCATTCGGTTCTGAGAAACAGGATCACCCTGTGTATTGGATGGAGCCATATCTTTTGTTTCAGTATTGCACACATGCTGCCACATCAGACAAATCGAAATTTCCAACTTTTGCTAGAACGAGACCTCCCGATACGCAGATATCCAAATCAGTGGCATCAGTTCTTACAGCTTTCAATTGGACGCATGTAAGTTTTATTCATTGATTTATTTATTCATTCATTTATTTATTCATTCATTTATTTATTTATTTATCAACGGACAAGCCAATTATGCAATTCACAAAAATAAAGTATAAAAATACAGAGCACGTACATATTATTATAGGTATCTATGAAGAAGACTAACAAAGAAAATGAAGAAAGCTAAAACGAATAAAAAGATGAGGATTATTATGAAATAAGTGATTGACAGTTTTTTATCGCTTTCCTGAAAGAACATGAAGATGAATTGAACAGTTTATTACCGAATGAGTTGAAAAATATACATGATGCGAGAAGGTTTGAAATCAATCTTAAAAAATACTTGCTCAGGACAATTTGAATGAAAAATATGTGGCATGATTTGATTACTTAGGAATGAAATATAACTTTAATCTTATAAGACACGATATTAATTTGTTTCCACTGAGTGGAATTCATTATAGTTAACCCTTTATTATTATTATTTTATATGTATTTATGTATCCCTATCATAAACAGAAATGTTTCTTGGGGTAATAAAGACAATCAATCAATAATTGTGTGTATTTGCTGTTTTCATGGATTCATTTTGGCCATAATTTGTCCTATAGAATGGTATCTTGAAAATGTCACTATTTCTATTTCTTCTAGTATTTGCGGAAAGCGTAGTCAGAGCAACAATTTCAGGAGAATCAATGTAGCCATTTATGGAGGAATAATAGATCAATTTCCATTCTTCTATGTATCAATGTATTCATGTTTAAGACATCTAATATTTGTGGATAGCTATATTCATCCCTATTGAATTCCATGTGACATGCACAACGTCTTGAAAATTCATTTTGACAACCCTCTATTATTAAAAACCGTTCAAACCTGTTGCCGAACATTGTATAAGCTAGTGGTGGAAAAATATATCGCAAGAACAAAATTTTAAATATTGGCGAAGGAGCAGAAATTTACCATCCTTGATTTCAAATTGAGACTAAACATTCATGAGTTGGTAACAATCAATTATTGTGAACAAGCAGATTTAAATTATTGGAAATAATCATTTCCAAATTGTAGATCAAACTATAACACACATTTGAATTCAGAATGAACATGAAAATTTCATAAATTTATTTTGAAGTTTATATTAATAATGAATGGTCATTAAATTAGATTAAATATGTACCTACTAGTTGAAGAACGTAGAAAAAGACACAGAAGATGAGTGAGAAGAGACATAAGATAAATAGAGAAAGAAAGAGAGAAGAGAGCAGATAAAAATGGAGAAAAAGAAAGTAGAATTTATATATCTGAACTTGAAAATTTTGCAGCTCCAATAGATGGCATTTGAATTTGTTTTTGAAGGCATTCGGAGTCATGTTAAATCGGAAAAAGGGGAGTTTTATCAGGTCATTAACGACGATAGCATTCATCTTCCCATCATATCAAAAGCAATTTGAATTTATGAAATGTTCTTAATACCGAATCTCCCACACAGTAGAACTAATTTCTGATAATTATTTTCTCGGTTTCGCAATAATTCTGGTGCTAGGGACATTATAAGTGATAATTCCCATTATATCCTCAGTTTGAATTTGTTTTCCAACTCGAATGTGATGACGATAGCGAAATATGTAACCGTTTTCTGTCTTCTTTCAGGTGGTGCTACTATACTTGAACTCTCCAGATTTTGAGTTCGGGAATATTGCAACTATAGTGCTATCGACTTTGTCATCAGCTGGGATTACAGTGATGGCCACCAAATATTGGGATACGCCGTACCATCATGGGTACTTCAAAAATCCGTTCTACAAGCTCGTCGAAGAGACCTACAAGGATACCAGAAGTGAGTAGGAAAATATCAGATTTCGTCCTATTCAGTATCTTTCTGTAAGGTAGTTGCAGTGATATGCCCACCATTTCATTCATTTATTCTCAAGTCTTGGAGCGCACGAAAGGAAATTCCTATGATATTCGAAGATAGTAGGGGAGCCCAAGCGAGGATTTATTGTTGGGATTTACTCGAGCGTGGAAAAATAATATAATGGGGGGAAACTCGCACCTTGGGAAGTACTCCCACTATACCTGGGATCTTTATATGGTGTCGAACGTCTAGGGCAGCCGATCAGATAAGTAAAAAAAAACGATCTTTGTAAAAACTCGAGCGCGACAGATTGAGACAATATCAGATATTTACATGCAGAAAAATGTGTATTTTAATAATCTGTCGATTTGAGCCTGAAGTAAGGAGAGGGGAGAGCCACAAAGTTGCAAAGAAAAACGTCACCTGGACATTCTAGAGCGCGATTATTTTTTTTAATTTTGAAGAAAATTATGCATGCATCACGGAAATAATATAATCTACCGATCTGCACAAGCTGAAGTAGCAAAAATGATCAAATAGTTGCTCATAAAACTGTATGGTGGTGGCCCGATACCCTGTGTCACCCGGTATGTCTCATGAGCTTTTTATCTTGAAATTGTATGATCTTCGGTAGAAGTTCATATTGCTCAAAGTGGAGTGAAATTTTTCAAAGGATCAAAGAAAGGAAGGAATGCTCCAAGTCATCTCCACAATTGTCAATGGTGTTGTTACACAATCAGAAGGGACATGTTTCGGTCTTATTATATACCATCTTCAGCCAAATTGAAAGTTCTACGATACAGAAAGATTGATGTGGAAGAATTACATTATTTGTTCTTGACTTACTTGGAGTTGAAAAATGTGAAGCTACTAGCTCTAAAATGCTTGTCAATGCCCATATACTTTTCTCTTCTCTTCCTTTCTCAGAGTATCTGGATAATAAATTCTATGAATATACCTGGAGAACATTTCCATAGGATATGCGAACAATACATGCTATGATCATTTCTGAATAGACTATAATGGAATACTCAAAGAACTTTCCTAAGATATTAAGATGGAATGACTAATGAATATTCTCGAACACATTTTATGAACATTCAGAACATCCTCATTATATTCGATGAATTTTATTTGGAATATTCCGAAGGAGAGGTATGAGGTGAACGTTGCGACAACATTCATATAGAATATTCTGTGCTGTCTGGTTCGGATCACGTCGCATTCATAAACATAAGATGGATTTTATGAAAAAGAAAACAAATTCAACATACGCTAACCATATATCAGAAGAAAACCATAGTTTTGATGATAATTTCGAAATTCTGCACGTAGAAAATAAGGGACTGAAACTCAATCATTTTGAATCATTAGAAATCAACAAACTCAAATTTTTTTACATTTCACTTAATGATCAATTAGACCTCAATAGTTCACCACTGTTGAATTTGTTTTCTTAGTAAGTAATAATATGTGTTTGATATCAACTCTTTCAAGTTAATCCGGTATACCGTAATTTAATGTAGATATTGTGCCTAATTTCCGAAAATGGAGGTTTATCGTACCTGTCCACAGGTAACTAATCCGTCAGGTTGGGAGAGTAAGATATATAAAAGTTAAGCAATCCAACGTTAGTTTAGTTCATTGTACCAGTATATCACCTGACGAAGCTACTGTGTTAGCGAAACGTGTCGTGTGTTTGAGAATTTTGTGGAAATCTTATCGTTTGTGAAGTTTTTACATTTGTCATGGATTTCCATCAAGTAACGGCCAAGTCAATTAAAAAAAAAATGTATGCGTGTATTTCTACTATTCCACGGAATACCGAATGTATACATAATGATATGAGAAAAATAATCGAGGAAATAGGTGTATATCATCAATTCCATGTCAAAAAGTTATTTTCCTGGAATTCCGCACCGGAGATGAGAAACTGAGGAAGTTCAGCAGTAAATCCGATTTAATTGTTGCAGTTTTCGTTATTTTGGGCCACTACTACGAGCACTTGGGACTAATGGTTGCCATGGAAGAGAAGAAACTGTTTGACAAAGGTCTGTATATAGTCAAATTTAACGACCGAAAACTTTCGTGAATCTAGAATTTAAGGAAATTTGTCGAAACTATAAAGAACATCTGAACATTCTGAACACATTTATACATTTTACTGTGTATAGGGCAATCGAAAAGTTGGTATAACAACACTTTTCTTTTTCAGTATACTTGTTTCTTTCCGCTCCAATCATTCAATCTGGATTTGTTACTTTAAACAGTAATCGAGACTCTATGCTCTGATCCAACTTATATTAACTTATAATTTTTATATATTGGTATGTTCGAAGGTATAGTCCAATTATTATAGTATGTACAGCAATATACCATTCGTCCTGACGAATTGCCATAGCAACGTATGTATTTTAGTGGAAATTCTTTTCTTGTGGGTACCCACCAGCGTATGAAATCGGAATTTTTTTTATGACGTACTTTCTATGACGTGATAATCGTGTCATCGTTTCGACGTCGAGTGAACGTCACTTAGATAAGTAAAAGGAGACGTCAGTTTCATGACGTTGCAGGGACGTCCTGTCGACGTCCATTTTTCTCAGACCTTCTCTAAATCATGGGTACTCAAATATTATCATGTGAAACAGAAGTATAACTCATGGAAGCAAATCAGCATGCAAGTTTTATTCTAATTATTAATATACCCGAAATGTAGTAAAAAAACTTTTTCTAAAAAACTTCGACACACTGCATATCTCGGACACCAACAAGCTATGTATGTATAAAAATGATTGTTTTGGTATACCTATATTGAAACCGTTACTCTCATGACGATGCAGTGACGTATTTGGTAAGCTTCGTAATTCAGTAAATTTTTCAATAATTTGCTATTTAGATGCGATTGAATGCACATGACACAGGAGGGACCCACCCAGCAGACTCAACAATGCATAATCAATATTATATAATGTTATCAGAGGCTAGTGGTGTTTATCACACCATGTTCAAGGAATCTTTTTTACGTATCATCGTCAAATTCAATCGTCATTTTGACGTCATTATGACGTCAGTCGGACGTCACAGTTTGGTGTGTGAATGACGTCAATACGACGTGAGTAATATGACGTCATTGGGCTGTGACTTATTCACGTCATTATCACTTCAATGTGACGTCAACTACTGACGTCACCTTGGTCATTCGAGTGACGTAAAAAAGACGTCACTGGAACGTCATCTCGTTGCCGTTGTTGTCGCTGTTCTCAAAGCAAGGTGGATAACTCCACCAGGAATAAATTCCATCGTATAACGGTTTTGATATCGCCTGAACTTTTTCAAATCCACAGATATGCATAAAGATACAAAATATTGGAAAAAATCGATACTTCACTTCCTGTATAAGGAAGATTTGAGAAAGTTGATTTGCAGAAGGATGAGATAATTCCTGGGGAATACGGAAGGTCTTGACACAGTCTTGAACTTATTAGATTTTGAAACACTGTTTTTGACCACTTGGTATGTCATAACTGGAAAACTCCGAGAAGTTTCGAACAATGAATTCTGAACAGATAGTGCGCATCTTTTGAACAATGCATTCCGATTGAAAATCGGTTCGTTTGCAAATAACTTATGGCATTTTAAATAAATTCGAGTTGAGACTGAAACAGATTCATCGGGAAATTTTTCAAACACGATGAATTTCGAATTGTAATTAACTTTGAAAGAAGCAAGAACGTATCTATCTGTCAGACGACGATTCGATTACATGATGTGAATCGAAACTATAGTGAGGAATCAAAAAAAATTTGAATATATTGGCTAGTCGAAACACAATAAGTACAACTGCGGCCCTTTTAATTCTCCATCATTCACAACGAGCAGCGATATGGAGCTTTCCAACTGATTTATGGAGATAAAATGTGTTTGACAGGTTACCCGGTTATTTTCCCATATCACGTGAGATTTCCATCGAATATAAATGTGCTATAGGGCAGCAGCTGTTGCAATATGAACTCTTCTACTCGCAATAGGGGAAGAAAACTTTCGATTTTTCCTCTTGATTTATGAGAAAAAGAAACGGTGTTGCCACATCAAATGATCGAGTGAACATCGAATTGTAACATGAAAAGTTCCGTAGGCATTCAAGAAACGATATAAAAACGCGTTTTCATTTCACATACAGAAACAACCACAGATTTAAGAATAACTTCAAATTACCCCCCAGTAAACACAAACATCCCTGGTAACAATGCGAATTGATGGCTGTGTCAAAGTCTGTGGTTTGACCAGGCATATACGTTCAGTATGAAGTCTGACCATCAGTCTGACCAACCAGCAGTTTGGGAATGTCGGTCACGTTTCAAACCTGCCCACAAAGTTACCACGTTGACTTTTGATGGGAGTCGAGTCAACCATTGACCATCCTGGTATCATCACTATGGTCGAACGACTGACTTCACACAGCCGATATCTCCAAGGCATTCAATCGAGTCTGGCACCACGGACTCCTCGCCAAGCTTCCGTCTTATGGCTTGCCTCCCCAGCTATGTTCTCTGCTAGATAGTTTTCTCTCAAACAGGTCTTTCCATGTAGTGGTCGATGGAGTTTCTCTGACTCTCTTATCATAAATGCTGGTGTTCCGCAAGGATCAATTCTAGCAACAACAATTTCTACTCCATATCAACGATTTGTTGGAAGCAACTTCATGTCCAGTACATAGCTTCGCGGATGATAGTACCCTCTGCCTTCTCTTCCAGGTCTTCAATACCAGCCAGGCAAATCAGAAACGAAAGAGGAAAGAATGTTGTCAACATAAATATGCACTTGGCAACAATTCTCGAATGGGGAACCAATAACTTGGTAAATTTCAATGCAAACAAAACACAAGCATGTCTTTTCTCTAGGGAAGTCGATCTCACTGTGCCCAACATGAGCTTGTCAGGAGTAACCATCCATTTCGATGCTTGGTATTACTATCAGTAATAACCATTCTTGTGAAAATCACGTGAGATCAAATGCTAAAAGTGCATCGCAAAAACTTGGTTTTCTGTTTCGGGCCAGGAGCTATTTCACTTTCAGTCAGCTGCTTATGATCTATGGAAGACACAGGTCCGACCTGTCCTAAAATACTGTTCCCATATTTGGAGTGCAGCACCCAAACATACCCTGAAACTGTTGGATGCTGTCCAAAAAGGGCAATTCGTCTCGTGGGTGATGCTTCGCTCACAAACTCACTCACTTCTCTGGAAAACCGTAAAAAAGATGGCGATCTGGCTCTATTTCATAGATATTTTCATGGACGGTGCTCTCCTGAAATATCAACAATTGTTCCTCCCTTGGCAGTCCCCGCGAGATTAACCCGTCGAGTTGAGGCTTCGCACCCCTTCGTGCTCACTTTGGAGACCTGCAGAACATCCATTTCCAAAGACTCCTTCATCCAACAACAGCGAGGCTCTGGAACACATTGCCAAGGGAGGTTCCTTGGTTCTCACGCTGTTCTCTGTACATTACAGGATATTCAACTCGTGGGAACCAGAACATAAAAAAAATTACAAGAAAATATCATTGGTATTGCCAGGGGACTCTTCATTCAACAAAATATTCGCAATATTCATCACATTTTATTAGATTTGAGACTAAAAATGTAGGTGATTTTGTGAGGTTCCCTAACAACCAAGATGGGCAACTGGAATCTAACATTCTTGTCTATATTTATGTAACAAACGGAATCAATAAATTTCGATGTTGAATGAGGAGTTGCTTGATATGTACTGTGAGTTTCATTTGACATCATTATATGGATCATAAAATGACTAAAAGGGTTCGGAATAGCAGTCATTTTGATTCTCATTTCGAGTCACGGATGTGATTTGTGACATGAATGTGATGCCCTCTTATATTTCTGGAATCAATCTGTGTTAACTGGGCCTGCATCCGCCATTTTGTTAATATTCCTCCTGATTTCCAGGGGAATATTTCGTAGTCGGCGTTGACATTGAGCAGTACGACAGCGGCAATCCAGCGAAGTACCTCAAGGGTCTGCTTCGGGACGATATAGACGTAGTGGCCCAAAAGGCCTACAGAAGCTACCTTGGAGTAGTCTCTTCGAGCCCAGTGGGCTTCGAAAATTTCACGAGGATGGTTAATTTTCACATGGAAAGGCCTCCTTTCAAGTTTCCTAATCCTCTCACGGTGCTAGGAGGGGTGAAACGGGTAAATATTAAGAAAATACTGCAGGTAAGGCGTTTTTTTGTTCAGTTCATTTGATCGATCATGTGCTTAGGAGCTACAGCTATTCAGGTTCTTATACATGATACTTTAACTTTATACTTAGCCTTTCACTTTGCCAACTACTTCTTCATGCATGGAATTGTGTAGATCTGTGAGAAGATAAAATAGTACATTTAGATATAGGTACCTAACCAATTACTATCATTACTATAGTATTATTACTTGACTTGATTGATTGATTGATTGATTAATGGCAGAATGATCAGTCAGGGTTTGAAGCCCAAAACACTGCAGCCTTTGGGCCTATTGTATTCCTGATCATGCTGTTGACTCAGGTGAACAGGTTCGCTACCTTGATGAGGTTTAGCAGCCTCTTCACCAGATCATTCTTTGAAAATGCCTCTTGAGAGTTTACTGCTCCCAGAAGGTTGTATCTCCAACGCGCTAGTGCTTCGCACTCCAGTATTACATGGGTGGCAGTTTCCTCCTCCTCATTGCATAGTCTGCATATGGGTTCGTCTGAATAGATGCCCATTTGATGCATATGTTTCCTCAAGGGGCAGTGACCGGTTATTAGTCCCGTCACTTGTTTGATCTGACTTCTGTTTAGGCTCAGAATGTCGTTAGTCACTGTTTTGGACAGTGTTCCAACCATCAGTTTACTGTGTCTTTGTCCTGGGACATTGTTCCAGTATGCCTGATGTCTTTCTTGCGTCCACCTTGCCAGCCAGCCGCGTATTGAGGTTTTGGGGATACCGAACACAGGTTCCGGCCCCATAAACAACGTCGCAGACCCCTGCCGGGCAAGAGCGTCAGCTGCTTCATTGCCTTCAATTCCCTTATGCCCTGGCACCCATTGAAGAGTTACCTTGTTGTGGTTAGCCAGGGTTAGCAGGCTTTGAAGGCAATCCCAGACCAATTTTGATCTGATTTTATTGCATGTTAGAGATTGAATGGCCGCCTGACTATCTGAGCATATGAGGATTTGTTTACCTCTGTATCCTCTTACTATATTCTCTCTCAGGCATGCCTCAATAGCATGCACCTCTGCCTGGAATACTGAAGCATACCTCCCCAAGGAAGCACACATCCTGGTTCTGGGTCTATCTCCATATATTCCGGCTCCCGTGCCCTCATCAGTCTTAGAACCGTCAGTGTACCATACTAACGTGCCTTCCTGACAGTTAGTCAAGACCCTTTCATCCCAGTAGAGCTGAGTGTTGAAGGGTCTGTAATAGTTATTTCTAGGCAGCATTTTGTCCCTTCCCATATCCATTAGTGGGCTTGAAACTTGGCTGATTATTTTTGTATGTCCCAGGGAGTCACCCCGAGCATACCAGTTGCCGGTACACTCCAGTCTGTATGCCCCCATCCTCGCTTCCGCCCTGATGAAGATTTCAAGAGGTGGAATATTGAGTATGGTTTCCATAGCAGCGGTAGGAGTGCTGCGCATAGCACCTGTGATGCAGAGACAAGCTAATCTCTGGAGTTTTGAAAGCTCCATTATAGCTGATCTCTGTTCAGTCTTAGGCCACCAGACAAGCGATCCATATACAATCATTGGTCTCACCACAGCAGTATACAGCCAATGTACCATGCGTGGTTTCAGTCCCCATGTGTTACCAATCGCTCTCCGAGAAGCCATTAGTGCCATTTTGCCTTTGCTGACAGTTTTTCGCAGTTGAGTATTCCAGGTTAGCCTAGCATCTAGGGTTACTCCCAGATACTTAACCTCCTGTGTCATACTTAGCTGTGTGTCAAAAAGTCTGGGAACTTTTAGTTTGTCCAGTTTCTTCTTTTTCGTGAAGGCCACAAGTGCAGTTTTACTAGGATTGACCCTGAGGTCTGCCTTTCTGCACCAGCCCTCTACTATCTTCAGGGCTCTCTGCATCAAGTCTGAAATAATTTCAGGATGCTGCCCCTCTACTAGAATGACAACATCATCTGCATACCCCTGTGAGTAAATTCCTACATTGTTTAGTTTTTTCAGGAGTTCGTCAATAACCAGATCCCACAGCAGGGGAGAAAGAACTCCTCCCTGTGGGCAACCCCTAGAAATCGTCACCTCCATGGTTTCACCAAGCAATGTGGATTCCGCTGTTCTGTTGTGTAGCATGTTTTTTATCCACCGACATGTGGTGTCTTCCACGCCACGCTCAACAACCGCTGCTACCATGGATATGAAGGGTGTGTGGTCGAATGCCCCTTCAATATCCAGGAAAGCCGCAAGAGCTATGCTCTTGTTGCTTATTGCGGCCTCAAGTTTCCCCACCAGTTGATGAAGTGCCGTTTCACAGGATTTTCCCGATTGATATGCATGCTGGTTTTTATGTAGTGGCCTTTCAATGAGAAAGTTTTCCCTGATATGCATTTCAATTAACTTCTCCATCACCTTCAACATGAATGATGATAGTGTTATCGGCCTGAACGCCTTAGCCTGAGAGTAATCTCTTCCAGGCTTTGGGATGAAGACGATCCTCGCTCTCTTCCATGCAACCGGAATGTACCCCGTTGCCAGGCTTGCTCTCAATATCCCACAAATAAACGGAGCCAGCTGGTCCTTACCCTGCTGTAGCATTGCAGGGATAATTCCGTCCGGTCCCGGCGCCTTGTAGGATTCAAGAGTTTCTATGACCCACAGCAGTTTACTGTGGTCAACAATCTTCTTCGATACCCGCCAGTCCCCAACAGCAGCCCTCATGTGAGGGTTTAGTGGGTCTGGTAGATTATCGTTTTCAATTTCAACCGAATCTGGCAGATGAGCCCGAAGTAGAATCTCCAGAGTTTCCCTGCCAGTTTCAGTATATCTCCCGTCAGGTTTCATTATATTCCCCATAGGATTAACAGGTGCCTTGGCTAGGATTCGATGGAGGCGTGCTGCTTCAGAGGTTGTTTCCACCTCTCCACAGAAACGCCTCCACGACTCCCTTTTCGCCCTACGGATCTGTTTATTATAATTGGTCAGAGTGATGGAATACTGCCCCCACTCCCCAGTTTTCTTCGCCTTATTGAAAAGTTTGCGTGTTTCTTTTCTTAGCGTTTTAAGTTCTTCGTTCCACCAGCTAACGTCTTTGCTGCTGTTGCGCCTTACCAAAGGACAGTTGTCCTGATATGAGGATATTATTGCCTCCTGCAACTGACAGGAGGCTACCTCTACATCAGTGCCGTTTTTGATAATCTTCTTGACGTTTCCTAGGTTTATTGTTAAGTCCTCTCTGAATTTCTCCCAGTTCGTACCTCTCGGGTTTCGATAGGCTTCTGTCGGGTGTTCAGTATCTGAAATTTCCATACAGATATACCTATGGTCCGACAAGGACGGTTCCTCAGATACACGCCACCGAGTTACCTGAGAGCTTATTCTAGAAGACGCCAGGGTTATGTCAATGATCTCCTTACGAGTTTTGGTAACAAAAGTTGCTTCGTTCCCGCGATTCATTATAACTAAATTCTTAGAAATTATGTAATCTAATAAGAACTCACCCCTTCTGTTTGTGTCACTGCTCCTCCAAGCTGTGCTGTGAGCATTGGCATCAATGCCAAAGATGAGCTGTAGGTTTGAAAGCCTGCAGTACTCCTCTAGCCTCTCCAGTTCTGCTGACGGAGGTGGCCCGATAGAATCGTATGGCAGATACACTGAGGCTATTATGATTTCCGTCCAGATTCCTCCCATACGTATTTTCAGCCTAATTGCTGCCTGGTCCCTAGAACAGAAATCAAGCAGTTTTAGTGCGTGTAGCTCGTTCTTAACGAAAATGCAGGATCTCACATTCCCTGCCGTCAGATCGTATATTACCTTACCCTTGGCTTCTCCCAGTCCTGAGACTCGTCCCCCGTGAATCCAGGGCTCTTGTATCAGGACTATGTCAGCTTCGCCTCGGGACAGGTACCTCACTAAGGCAGCAGTCGCAGCCTTTTTATGCTGCAGGTTTACTTGAAGGACCTGCAGCATCTTCGGCGCTCTTTTTACTTACCACCCTGAAGGTAAGTTGGGACAGGCCTAGGTAGGCTTTGAAGCCTCTCTTGGCCAACTCCTTCAGGTTGAGGTCGTCAATTCCAAGAACAAGGGTAATTCCTTGTTTGTCGGAATTGGTGGAAATAATCCTCCAGTCTCCTGTTTTAATGCCCTTGTTCTGGGTTTCCAGGAGCTGTAGGATCCTAGCCGGCTCCTTGGCGTCCAGGAACTCGGTTGGCACCCATACCACAGCCCTGTGAGTTTTGACCACCTTATTAGCGTCATCGACGCTAAGGGCGGCCCCCTCCCAAGGCTTCAGCGTAGGCACCTTCCGCTTGAGCCATTCTCTGGATTCCTCATTTTCGCAGGTTAGGATCAGCACCCCCGATTGAGGGTAGCTGCCTGCGAATTGAGGCCCAGTTCCTGGCTCACATCTCCAGATCTCTCTCGTAATAAGAAGCTGGATTTGCTTCACCTGCTCCAAAGATAGCTTGTCTTCGGGATAGTTGCCCGTAGTCACTGCCATCTTAAAGGAGGTCAGGGCCTTACTGTAACTGCCTCCAGTTGGTGTACTGACGGGTTTAGTTACAGAAGGTCCCGCAGAGACACTCTGTTTGCTCCTCTTAAGGAGCGGCGAAGGTGTGCTGGTCTCGGATCTCCCCCTCTTTCCAGCGGCCTCGCAGACTTTCCCACTTCCCGTTGTGGAGATGGTTTTGTCTGGTCTCTTAAGACATGATGGATTTACGGCCACCAGTGCTTGAGGTTTTTTCGTGGGCCTCCGATTTGACCTAGGCTTCCTAGGAATGATCGGGTCCCCACGAGCCATAGCCGCCTGGATCGCCAGCTTCCTGCGCTGCGCTCCAGACATTTTCACTTTTGTGTCCGGCAGATCCTGAGGGTTTGGAACCGGTGGCTGCTCACGGCTGCCCCCAGATTCCTCCCCTTCCTCTGTCGACTCCATCAGCTCCTGTAGGATGCGCTCTTCCTCCACAGTAACCAAGGTTTGATGTGCCTCAGTTCCCGTTCCAGAAGAGTCGCCCTCCAGAAGCCTATT